GGAAATAAAAATGGCCAACTTGGTTTATAACATGTGTGGCACATTAAGGAACCTGTTTTTCGAAAAAGGGAAATGTTTCTTTTCTCCTCGTTTTTTTGTCATCCTTTTTTTGTCACCATTTTTTTCTCCCATTCGGTCAATTAGCCCCAGTTCAAATGCGATGCAGGAAAAATTGCAGAACCGATACGTTGGTACCGTTAGACATGGAACCCCCCACGCCGCAGCTATATTTGTCTAAAAAGGAGAAAAACATATCCCCTCATATATAGCGCGTACATGCGCGTATTTTATAAACTCTTCTTTGAGCTTCTTTAACAATTCAAAAAATGGAGTAGCGAAAAAAGCAGAGCCCATGTAAGCAAGTGAAAACAATTGCGTTTCTACTAAAATGGAAATGTGGAAAGGGAGGAGTGAATTATTTATTTATTTTTTCTTTTTTACTTTTCTATTCATTTATTTATTTTTTTCAACCTCTTCATTATATCTGCCATTTCTTCCATTTCGACCATTCCTGCCATTTCTTCACAAAATTAAACACACAGAATTGGTGGATTCCATGAGGAGAAAGCATAACCATAGTGACTCTCCCTACATGTATGTGTAAATAAACGCTCGTGTGTACCCTGTTAAAGATGCTAAGCGGATGGCGCATGTCACTATGGCTCAGAAACGGCTTCAAAAGAAAAAAAAAAAGTATGTTACAGTTATGCTTACAAATAAAAGTACATTTTTGGCTTTCGAATGCAGCACTTTTAGAGAGCCCCCTTTTCGATTTACTGGTTTATATAACCGACCACGTGACGTACAAAATAAATGCGAAATTGTCATCCCTTTTTTACATGCCTCAATAAAATTCACAAAAGAACGTTGTTGTTGTTTGTCCCATCGCTAAATGGGCGCATCCTCAAGGGATTATCTTCCCCTCTGTAATGACAGTCTTTCACGTGATACGCCATTTGCTATTCCTAATTCATTACGCACAGTAACATATTTGTAAACCGCCGGCGACATAAGCATAGGTATATACATATGTGACCTACTCATTTCAGCCCCTCGAAATGAAATGGGCGCTATTTATAAAATGAAAAGTTGTGTGTATGCTTATATGTTCATATCTTTACAGGTTTACATGTTTTTTTTTTTTTTTTTTTTTTTTTTTTTTTTTTTTTTTTTTTTTTTTTTTTTTTTTTTTTTTTTTTTTTTTTTCTTTTTTTTTTTGTAAGACCTATATCCTTTTCTTAAACAATAAATGTGGAAGCGCGCAACGGGTGTGCAAAAAATAATGGTAAAATGCACTGGTGAATGAGTGGTTATTAAAATGAACAACTGGCATTTAATTATTAAATTTGTTTCTTCCAAAAAAAAAAAAGAGAAACGAAGGATAAGGAAAAAAGGCGACGATAAATAAACGAAAGCGCGCAAAGTAGGTTAATCGCGCAAAAATGACTTGGCAAAGTTTTCGTTTATCTCAACTTGGCGAAGTTTTATTTTACTTGAACTTCACGGTGGAATTCGCCCTCCTCCGGTACTCCGTCTGCGCTGCCGGTTAACCTATGCAAAATCTGAATAAATCGTTAAAAACTGCAGGGGAAAGGAACAGGCAAATGCGTTATAAAGATTACAGTGTGCAAAGAAGTTGCAAAATTGTAACATTGCGAACACATGCTGTGTTGTTACGCCGTATATAGTAGCTCTGTTGGAGGTACAGCCTATATCATCACACAAATTTTAACGGCGTGATGGTGAAAAAAAAATTACTGAAATATCCCCCACTGGGCAAGGGAAAAAGGTGGAAGCTCCTAACAAATTTGATTGGCTTATTCTCCTCAATGATGATGTCGCCACATACTAAAATTAAGATCCCGTTATTGGGCGTCGGCTGAATATCTAGACTTAGGCATTTGTGGACAACGGTGGGTGGCAGTTTATTCAGTCGCTCGATTATCTGACTTGTCCCTCTGCACTGGTCATTTTCGAAGCTCATCATGCTGATGTCTTTGTAAAGTGCAGCCAGTTCGTTTCTGCGGGGGGTGGCGCCGGAAAAGGATGCATGTGTATAAGCGTAGGTGAAGGCATACATGTGCACAGGATAGTATATGTATGTACATATATATATATGTGGATGCATGGGGGGATTTCGCGGAGCTATCTCTGCACACTTTCTTCATCTTTTTTATCCTTTTTATTTATTTTTTTTTTCTCCCGTTTCCCATCTGCACGACGCCTTCATCGCTCAGTTCGATAAGCTAACCTTCCCGTGTTGAATAACTGAAAGTAGTGGTTCACGAACTCTTTCCCTATCTCTTCGAACTGAGGATTTAGCATATCCATTTTTTACAAGAACGGGGGGAAAATGATAAAAAAAAAAAAAAGTTCTTAAACGTGTTGGGGGATGGTATTAAAAATTGCCCAATCGAGAAAAGTTAAAAAAACTGATTTTCTGATTTAAATGATGTTAAAAGTTTCATTAAGCTCGTGGGACAATACATACGTATGTAACAATACATGTGATACAGGAACCTTATTCCTTTTCGATGTAGAAATAAAAAGCTTGGATGTTTGGCATAAACTGTTTTGGTGTCAAACAGGTGGGGTAAAGGTACGCGATGTTTGTTTTTCTACCAGTTACGAAGTGTTCTCTATTTCGGAGGTGCTTTCGTTACAAGTTTTTTATTTAAAAGGAGAAGTTTGAAATGACGATAAAAAAAAAAAAAAGAAAAAGAACACGTAATGGAACGTGTATGCATATACTTATCATATTCGATACATTACCTTCAACATTACGCAGTTAATTTTTTAATGAAAGCTCCAATAGAAATATTAAAGTGTTAAGCGAAGATTCTCAAAATGGAAAGGTGTAGAGATGATTGCTTTGAAGTGTTTTTTTTTCCCCCACGGCTAATATGTATATAAATGTAATATAGTGTAAAATGTAATACCGAACAAATAATATTTTCGTAGGTCCGTGGGTGCTTCTTCTCTCCCATGTGCGTACGCACGCGTTCACGGGAAGGGCCAAAGTGTCTCTTTTTTTATTCTGACGCAGCCGTAAGTGGGCAAAACTAAGCATATCTTTTGCTGCGTATCATTTCGTACCCAGTTTGTGGTACCAGTTTGTCGTACCAGTTTATGCGCTTTTACTTTTTCCCCCACTCGCTTGAGTAGCGTTAAGGCAGAGTCCCCCCCTAACCATGCGTAAAGGCTCGGTGGACCTTTTCAACTGCGCTGCTTAAGCTTTTTTTTAACAGACCCATTCAAATAACAAGCGTATATAATTTTTCACAATTGTAGATTCGTTTTTTAAGTTTTATGTTGGCCTATTTTACTGGGCGACGCCATCGCTAGGGTAAAATGTGTCGGAACGTTCCCTCAGTGTTAGAAGGAAAAATGAAGATTTGCCTCGTACGGAAAGAGAAAGTATATTCAAATGAAAGCGAAAAAATTGCAGTTTCGACAATATTTAAACCAACATAGATCCAGCTAAACGAAAATAAGTGCTGCTACTCTCTATATAAATGAACAATCCTCCCCACTCTTTTCTTTTTCTTTTTTTTTTTCTCCCCCTTTGGCAAATGTACCAGTTTAACCTGTCGCAACAGAACCGCTGTGGAGCGTAAGGCGGAAAAAACGTGTACATGTATGTTCACCCTGCTGGGACATTTCCGCAAAAATGTGTTTTTCTCTCTACCTAATTTTGGAATCCCCCCTTGAAAATATATTCGTGGGGTTACGTGTTTTTTTCCACCCCCGGCAACTACCCACTCATACAGAAGGGGTAATGTCAAGTGTTCCCCTCTGTGGCCCTGCCACATTGCGTACACAGGAATGCAGTTCCTTTTATTATTACAAATTTATAGTGGTTAAAAAATAAACACATTTAGAGAGATCCGGCTTCTGTTCGTCCTTACCATCCCCGTTCGGCACAATTAGCAATATGTCCTATCCTCTTAAGGCGCTTCATCCTACACAAGGTTTGCATTTTCTCCGTGGTGAAGAAGAACGTCTGATGCGTTGAAAAGGAGGCATATGATGACTGTGACTTACCGCAAAAGTCTCCCACAAACGGAACCACTTAAGAAGATCTCCTGCGTACTACTTTATCATTATCCGCACGATGTGGCAGTAAAGCGCCATGTTGCATCCCTCATTTGACTTATTCGCCCACGTAGAATTCATTTGTTTTATCGTGTGATTCGCTCAGAGTGACTCCGTATAGTGTATTAACAAAATATATCCACACGTGAAGGTTCAAAGGGGTCATTGTTAGCATTCTCATGTCACGAGTTCTTTCCGTTCAAACGGATAAAGTGAGCACCCGTGTTGCCACGCTCCAAAGGGAAAAAAATAAATACTTTCTTTATATTCAAAAAAGCAGTGCTAACCGAACGCCCCATCCTAGCTGAGTGCTATCCAAAGGGCCCGACCGGTTGTGCTTTAAACGTTCTGGCCAAAACGGAACAAAAGGAAAAAATACAAAAATGAAATAAGAAATAAAATAAAAAACAAAAGAAAACAAACAAAGAAGGATACATAAATACAAACAAACAAACATACAAACATGAAAAACGGAGCGGAAAAGAAATCAGTCAAAATGGGGCAACAAAACAACGGAATATCACACTGGGAATTAAATGTACAAAAAAAAAAAATGGAGAACCAAACTGCTTCTCCAGAGCCAAAAAACGCTCCTCTCATTTAGGAGGCATTTGTCGCAGTTTTTTGCCACAACCCCCTTCCAGCGCGCACTAGCTTTTTCATGCCAATCTGTTCAGTTCTTGTTCAGCGCGAAGAGGAAGTAGGACGGAACGTACAAAAGGGTATGTTCCTTTTTGCGGCATTTGGACCTCTTGCTCCCCAAACGAAAACCTTTCTCACATATGTTATAAATGTTAAAAACGTCCAGATAATTCATGTTTGTGTAATGCATCTTCGTGTCAGTCATGTGAATGTACACGTTGTTCTGGACGAGCTGAGAAATGCCTTCTATTTTAAAATTGTTTTTTTGCAACTTCTTCAAAATTTTTATTTGAAAGTTGGAAATTTTTTTATAAAATTGTTTTTTCAATTTTTCGTACTCCCGTTCGTCAAAGGAGTCACTATGGCTGAAAAAGTTGGGCATGTTTGCCATGCCGTCGCTGGGGTGATCCGTCTGCCCGTTGGTTTGCTCCCCGTTCGCTTTCGCATGATTGTTCGTTCGCAATGGATTGTTCTCTTCGCGGACCAAAGGAATGCCCCCGCCATGATCGTCACATCGTGTGTCGCACTTCGTATCACCCGTCTGGTGGCCTTCAACGTCCCTCCATGTGGCAGCACAGCCATTCTGGGGGTGGCCACGATCATCCAATGTACAGTACGGAAAAACGAGGCTATACACATGAGCGTCATCCTCTCGCATTTTGGTAGTCGACGCTTCTCTGTACAGATAAGACGAATTGCTATTCACTTTGTTGGTATCAAAATAGCGCGACATTATTTCTCTATTTAAATTTCCATTACGTAGTACAATTTCGCTCTTCAGAGGGTTTGAAAAACTGTCCGGTGTTGAAAAATCATCTTCATATAGTACACTTTGCACGTAAAAATGTTCACACAGTTGGGCATCATCTCTTTTCTTTTCCTTCAAACTCTGTAAGTAACATTCCTTCTGATAGTAGCTTAAAAAAGTAAGCAGATTTTGGCTCGAGAAAATATTTACAAATGAGTACTTACGCAAAAACGCCTGATGGACATTAAAATATTTCATATAAATATAGTAATTATTATAGTACCTTATTATTAAATTAAAAAGTTGGTGAAAAAAATACACTTTGAAGGGGTGTCTTCTACTTAGGGTGAATACAGAAAAGGAGCCCTTCCTCTCTGCAATTTTAAAGACAATTTTTCTTTTAAGAGCATAGATTGGAAGATAATAAAAAATATACTTTTTAATGTTACTCAGGAATCTCTTTTTATAATATTCGGAGTGTATAATAGTTGGTCTATATCCCTTGGTCAAATATAGCACACTTTTGCTGAAATTTTCCACCGATTTGTCCCACGTGTATGGTCTTAAATAATCAATAATTTTAAAAATTATTACAAAATTTGCCACGTCTATGTGTATAAGAAGGGAGTAATCCATGATATCCTGCCCTGATAGGAAGTCAGTATCTTCTCTTAATGAATCCATGAGATCTTTGTAATCACAGTACTCCAAATTTATCACCTTCCATTTGATGAAGTCTTTAAAATTGTCATCAAATAGGACAGTATAATTTTTCAAGCAATTGTAATTCTCTATTGCGAAGTTGTTATATTTTTCCATCGAATTTAGGCTCTCCATGTTTTTACTATCTGACACTTCTTTGTCTAAGAAGCTGTAAGTTCCTTCCCGTGAGGGGGTACTACCTTGGGGGGCGCATACAACTTCTCCCCTTAATTTGTGCTTGCTCAAATTAGCTCTATTCAAAATGCAGTTCTTTTTTCTGGCCAAAAAATGCAGTGACGCCTTCGTGCTGCAGAAATATTTGGTTCGGATCCTTTTGGTGCCTTTCCCCCTACGTCTATTTTTCCTCTTCCGTAGCTTCGTCATTTTGCTATTCAAAGATAGGAACATCCTGGTATGATGTACGATGTCATTTGTGAAGATGCGCCAATTCTTGTGATCACGTGTTTTCTCCACACGGATTTGTGAGGAATTTTTATTCAATCTACTCTTCATATGGAGTTTCCTACCCCGTTCAACCAGACGTTGCCGCAACAATCCACATAGCATTTTTTGCCTAACTTTTGTAGACACCTTCCTCACCCTTTCTTCGTTATTTTGGCTGCTTAATCCGTTCGGCGTTCTACGTTTCTTATTCCCTGCTCCCTCTTTGCCGCCCCGGGTTATGAGATTGTGCATTCTTTCCCCTTCTGCGTTGGGTACAGAAACTTCCATACCATTTTGAAGACCTTCCATTTCGTCTGCACCATCCTGTTTGGAATTGTTTTCTCCTTTTCGCGCCCCCTTCGATGTGTGGGCCTTTTCCGCGGAGAGGAAGTCCAAGTACCTCGTTTTGTTATAAAACGTATTCGTCCGTTTGTTCGTTCGCCCATTTTCCAGTTTAATCATCCGGCCGTTTGTCCTCTCCACCCCCCTCGAGGGAGACACCGCTGCGCCCTTAAAGTTAATCTTCTTTTCCCTGCGAATGTATCTGGTAAAATGGCCCAGATTTTCCGATATTCCGGAGGAATTATCGTCTAGCATGTCTCTTTCCTCCGTCGTTTTGAAGGAGTTGTACGAGAACGCATCATCTCGTTCGAAAAAGGAGGAGCTCTTCTTATTCTGCTTCATCAGTTTTTGTAAATTTTTTTTTTTCCTTGCCCCTTTAATATCAAAAATTAAAATTTTCGAGTTCCTATTTTCGATTTTTACATTCTCCAAAATGATATACGCTTTAACAGTTTTTCTGCTCCTCTTTTTAATTTCTATTTGGTACAGTCCGAACATGAAGCATAAGAGCGATTTTTTTCCTTGAAAAAATATGTCCGAAAAATGTTGAAAAAATTCTTTATATCTCGTAATGAAAGATTTAAATTCATATTTATTTATCTCTTTGATGATGTACTTATCGTCGTACGTTTTTACGAAATGTCTTTTTTTATGATCAAAGTTGATGCAGTTACTCTTTATGAGTGATCTTAAAAATGTTGTTTCTCTTTTGCACAGAAATTTCCTCAAGTAATAAAATTGTAGCGGGAAATATATGTACACGGAAATGTTTTCATTTATCGGAATAACAACAACTTCATCATTTTTGCAATTCAAAAATTGGTTTATCATGCCATTTGTTAGATTCCGGTTCGCCATCCTTCTTATGTTTTTCTTTAAATATTTTTTTATCTCCTCATGCTGTGTAACGGCTGAATGTTTTCCCCTTTGCGATTTTTTCTTTCCACAAAACGGTCTCTTCTGTATGACCCTTTCTTTGCTCCCATTTGGTTTGAACTCCTTCCGCACCAGAGCTATTTCATTCTTCGCTTCGTCAATTTGTTCTTCCAGCGTGTGTTGTTTCTTGTCCGCCCGGAGCGCTTCCCTCTCCTTGTCGTAAATTTCGGCCAATTTCAACTTGTACTCATCCGATATGAGCGCGTGGAAGATAGAGTTCGACGTGTCACTCGGATTTAACAAAAAGACCGCACTTGTTTTCTGTTCCTTTTCTGTACCCCCCGTTTTCTTTCCGCTGCTTTTATCACTCCTTACGGAGTGCACTATTTTCGATATGTGCAAATAGAATAGCTTCTTGTTCGAATGTTCGTATTCTTCCTTGTTCATGTCATCCAAATATTCTCTCTTCCTATAATTCTCGATGTTATAAATATAGTAGGACTCAAGGGTGTATAATTTTTGTACGTCATATTCCCGCACGAAGTAGAAGTAGTTGCTTAGCTCCGACTTGTCTTCATTCCGATTTTGTGGATTTTCCAAATTGGACGCTTCGCCCTTCTTTCTTCTTTTCCTGTTGTTCATGTCGTTTAGCAGGGCATACTTCTTTTTGGATCTCCTCCACCTTCTCATGAGCTGCACTCTACCCAGTCCGCGTTGGGGACTCCGCTTGGCACTACGATAGGTTGTGGGTGGCGAAGACATGGGCTTCATCGAGCAAGTTTGTTCGCTGTTTTCCGCGTCTAGCTTCGTATCCTCTATTGTCTCCTTAGGACTCTTCTTCACTTGTCGCCGCACACGCACACCACCCCAGGCGCCTCGTGCAACGTAACTCAAATACTGCAGCTTCCTATTATTGGCCAACTTCGTCATCCTTTCGATATCGCCTTCTATTCTTAAGTTAATTTTTTCTAATCTCCTAATGTACAAGGAGAAAAACATTTCAATGCCCAGCGAGAACTCCTTCTCCATCAGATGCACAATGGCGTAGGTGTAAAAACGCCTGAACACTCTAGTTAGCTCTTCTTTCTTTTGGTCCATTTTGTTTTTAAACTTTCTAAATATCAGGAACTGTTTTATTAAATCTTCCTTTATTCTGTTGATATCTTTTAAGATATACGCGTGGTTTTTGCTAGTCTGTTTCGAATCGCAGTTAACGATCCTGTTTGCATCCCTCGAGTGTACTTCTTTCCTGTTGAGCGTTTCGTCCTTCTTCGTCATGTATGTGACATCCCCTTTTGGATCAGGCGATGAATGCATGGTGTGTGCAAGACCATCTGCGCCGCCTTCTTGTGTACTCTCCATATCACCCCCGCACATCAGCTGGGTCATCACACTATTGAAGAGGTCGTATTTTTGCTTGATAAGCACTTCGTTATCTCCATCGCGGTTGGAGCTTGGTTCCTCAATTTTGTGCTCATCTAATGGCTCACCCTGCCGCTTTTCTGACTTTTCCCCCCATTGCACCCCCCCCTGCTCGTCCTCCCTCCTGCTTTCCATCTCCCCCTTTATAATCAAAAAATTGTCCTCTATGAAGTATTCCGTGTTATTCACGCAGTACACAATTTCGTTCACCTTAATAAGCATATTTTTAGTGATCAGACCGATGAGAAAATTCACAGCGATGTAAAAGTTAAAGAAAATCCTCTTAATTATGAATAGGACATTGAAAAATCCTAGCGCGCAAAAGTTGGCAATTTTTATGTGCTTACATTTTTTACACCTATTTGTAAAGTAGAGGGGAGAAGCGGGGTTTTTAAACTTCTCCTTCTTCTTCTTCTTCTTTGAGCACGGCTTCCCATAAAGGTGCCTATTTTTAGATCTATAGTACTGAATTGCGCAGTTGTAGATTAAATACTTTAGTGAGCAGTACATGGGAAGCATCGAGCTCGTAAAAAAGGGAAAATTTTCAATGACATTGTAGAGGTTAAAACTTGTGTACACTTGACGTTTTGTCTTTTTTTTTCCTGTTTCAAATCTACATTTATTCTTTCTCGCTACGCATTTGCAGGGGTAGTAATAAAAGACGCTACTGCGAATGACGTTTTTCATGTTCTTCTTGATGTATCTTTTGACTCTCCGTTCTGTGTTGGAGATTCCCTCACAGTTGTTGTGCCCTCTCCCGTGTGAACAGCAGCCTGGACTTCTACCTTCGCTGCTTCTACTTGGCGAATGCACACCTTTTCCAGCCTTTATCGCAGCCCTTTTGCTAGCCCTTTCGCCATCCTTTTCCTCTCCCGTTCTGTGCATCTTGATACTTTTGTAAATATCGTTATCATGCAGGAGGAAATAAACTTTCAAATCTTTGTAACTCAACTCATAGGTGTTGTTTTTCCCATTGTGGTTGCATTGAACGTTCACGTAACTGTCCGAGTGTACAATGCTTAGAAGAAATTCGCTCAGGGAAAAGTTCGTTTTGAGTACTCTCTCCTGGAGCATGTCACACTTGTTGCAGATGATGTTCATGCTTACTTCGTCCTCTTCTCGATCGCTGCTTTCTTTTTTAAATAGGATCAGGACTCTCTTCAGGAATATTTGGATGCATATTTGGTGGTGGCCGAGTTGCTTCCCGCACGCGTCGAAGGGGCAATTCCTGCGAGTGGGCGTGAGACATGAATACGTGTTGCACATGTGTTGAACACGTGTATGCGTGTGCGTGTTGGGTGGTAAAGATACCCCATGGTGTGCATTTCGAAGAGGGCCCCGGACTCAGCATCTCCTTTGTCTCTCTCGCTGACACACTCTCTATGACTCTATATATATATTTATCCATCTTTCTATGTATTTCTAGTTATCTCTCCCTCTCTATCCTTCCTTCTCCATGGGCACTTACAAAGTGTAGGCCAGATCGTGGATGACGCAAACGAACTGCCGCAGCGACACGTCGCATATATACTTGTGGTTAAAGAAAAAGTTGTAGAAGAGCTTCTTCACGCTGTGGTTCTGGCTGTCAAAGAGGTACATGTTCACACAATTATACAAATTATTAATGAACATATAATTGGGGCAGATAAAATAAGTTATCATTTCTATATTTTTAGCTGCTTCCAAGTGGTAGCAATAGAAAAGGATATTCTGGGCAATAACCTCCTCGGCCTTTTCATTCACCTTTCTCTCCATCACAATTTCGTCGTTAAAAAATACAGGATGAGGCAATAAATTTGAGTCGTTCAAAAAATTTTCCTCATTTGGGATTAAATTCTTCCAATTGCAGTACAAATAGGAGCTGTTAATAATTTTTAAATAATAATACATATAGTTATAATTGATCTCCCAGTTCTTCATAAAATTGTTAAAAAAAAAATAGTTCACTACGTCTATTATTTTGTTTTTTCCAGCGTTCAAGAAGCAATGTTCAAAATTGTTGCATATTTGGTCCTTAATAATTTTATTTGTCTTTATCAACATGTGCAAAATTTTCATCCGTTCTCTCGTCAGTGGGTTATTAACATTTACTAAGTGGAACAAATTCGACATGAAATTTATTGGCGTCTTTTTTATCTTTCTCTTTGTATCATTGTAGAAAAAAAAAATGGAAGAGGATAGGATGGACTGACTCAGCTTCTTGTAAAAATTGTCGCAAATCGCATTTGTGTGTATACTTCCAGCTGGCACGCTCTGCAGCATTCTTCCCATGTAGTTATTCAAATACAGTTGTTTATATACGTGGAAAGTCAAGAACAGACAGAACTTTAGCAACTTTTTAACCTTCTTAATTATAATTACATTTTTTATATGATCGATTAGTGCCTTTTTCTTGTTTCCACGACTTTCCGTCTCCACTAGACCTATTTTTTTTTCTTTATGTTGGAAAAAATAATCAACTATATAATCATCACTCTTGTTTTTGTAATACACTTGGAGGAAATTCTCCAGTATATTTTGTTTCTTCGTTTCTTTGTTAAGCAGCGTGTAGAAGAGGTCTTCTCCGCGAGATTTTATTCTGTTCTTCGGTGCGGATCTCTCAGTTGGATTGTCCAAGTTGGAAAAGGTGACTCCAATAACTGTGAATTTGCTATTTGCGGGCGTATATCCCACCTGCGGTTCATTCCCATCCCGGATTTCCTTCCTCCCAAATATGCAGATGGTCAAAAAATTGCCGCTACAACAGAGAAAAATATTCTTCACGTTTTTTCTATACCTCTCAATTTTGAAATAATTTGCCTTGACTACATAACTGTTATTGTCAAAGTTTACAAAGTCGTCATAACTTAAAACCTTCGTGCGCAGCATGTTGGATAGGCGGCATAAATTTTTCTTCTTAATGCTGGTAAAAAAATATATCTTCTTACTCATTAGCAACTTCTTCGTGTAGACGTCTATTTCCCCGTGAATTAAAATAATGTTCAAATTCCGATTGCTCAATTTTTTCAAAATGAAATATGTGTAATTGTACTTGTTATTATAACATTGTTCCAGTACTTCATAGTTGTTTCTCTTTTCCGCGTCCAGGAGTAATATTTTCGGGTTCTTTATCTCCACATCGTCGAAGTATATAGAACAATTGCTGAACACCAGCCCGTTGATGTAGAAACTGTTTGAGGGGCTGTTATAGGGGAAGTACTTTACCTGCACGGTGGGAGGGGGACAAAAGGGATGTGCAGGGGTGTAAGTGCATTCGGGAAACTCTCCATAGACGCAGACACTTAAGCAGGCATAGCCATGGGGTTGAGAATGGTGGTGCATTCTAACTCTACAGAGATACTCAATCTAAGGGAGGAGAACTTTTTAAACGAGGTTGCCCCAACACACCTTACCTTCACGTTTGTCAAAATGTCGTATCCATAACTGTGGTAATACTTGGAAATCTCATTCAATATGTTGCGGACATGAACGTGTAAGTCTTTCTTAATCCGGTAGTAGCGCAGTTGATTGGTTATTACTTTGTAAAAGTACCGATTAAGGTGGATGTTCGTCTTTAGGGAAAAATTGATACTGTCGTGGTACACATTTTTGTTAATATCCCTTTCGAAAAAGGTAAAAAAAGGATTAAATTCTTCGTCCAAAATTTTTTTTTTTTTTTTCCTTGCAGAATAATTCACACGAATAACAGGTGGGATATACATTCTGCTGTTTTCTATTTTTTTAAAATATTTTTCCTTAACTTTTTCAAATATATATTTTTTCCTTCTTTCATCCTTAATATCATCGTTGTATGTTTTGTAAATCTTTTCGCTCCTTTTAATTATCTTCGAGTAAAACTTGTTGTTCACTATGAGGCTGTAATCTGAAAGGACAAAGGAAGGGGGGGATAAAAAAAAGGAAGTTACAAACTGTGGCCAAGTTGAGCAGCTTTTCAATGTGTATATTGTGTAATATGCCACTTCTGAGAAAAATAAAAATGGAGGTGGAATTCGCCAAGTGGGGGGGGCTCGAGAAGACTGGCATTACTACTAAGCTGTGTTAAATGCGAGTATTAAATGGTGCACGGGGGGAGGCCTCCACTTCGCGCCATTCTCGCCATTCGAGCCATTCACGCCAACTTTGCAAGAACAGTTACAGTATAACGTACGAACTGGTTCACTTTTTCAAAGTGTGCATTTTTATTAACTGCGTGTGTGCTCATTCGCTAAATTATTTCCCCAATTCATTACCTTCTTGCCTTATTCCATTTTTAATCAAATTCGTGGTCAGTTCGTTGGGTTCGCTGATGGGCACGCTTGAGTCCTTCTTCTTCGACCTTCTCCTTTTAACTTCTACCTGCGTCTGTTTCGGGTAAAATTGTTCCCCATCGTTTACGCAGAGGCTGCTGAAGCGATTAGACAGGTTTCTATTTCGGATTTCTTGGGGTGCAGTGGGGGAGTGGAAAAAAAGGAGAAGGCAAAGCAGTGAGCACGGTCGTACCGTTGTGCAGATGCACTAGTGCACAGGGGCACTACTGCACAACGCGTCGCACCCTTTTTGGCGCTCCACTTTCACCTCATCTCCTGTGGCAGTAGACTCACCGTTGAACAGGGGGTAGTTCAGGATCAACTCGAAAAACCTCTGCGACGTATTTCGCTGCTTTGAGCTGCTCCGAAAACTGAAGTACCTATCCGATAAGCTTTCTTCCATTCTGATTATTCCTCTTTGAAAATATTCATCAGAGGGCTCAGTGGGGATCTACCTATGTCCCATTCTGTGCATTTCCTTAGCAGCTTGGGTCCTACCTCTTACCCTTTTTTCGCAGCAGGGTAGTTTTGTATTTTTTATTTCTTTACTTTTTTACTTTTTTATTTTTTTACTTTTTTACTTTCTTAATTTCTTACTTTTTTACCTTATCACTTTATTATTATATTATTTTCTTCTTCGTATCGCCGCAGTTGCGCCCCTTTGTAATTTTGCCATCTTCCCTTTTCACCAGTTCATTGGCAAAAAAACGGAATGGCAACACACAACTCGGCTGCTTAACGATCTGTGAGAGTATCATTGGGGCCTATACTGGGGATTAAAAAAAAAAAAAAAAAATCTCGCTATCTTTTTTTTTTTCTTTTTTTTACTTTCCCTTGGCACTTTATTAGAAATCTCAAACCCATTACCATAAAATAATATGCTGTGCATTACGTGCTAGGCAAAACCGAAGCGCAGTTCTGCTTATGTACCTTTGTGCACTTGAGGAAAATGGAATTGCCTGAATTATTTTACTGGCGAGAGTTGTTACACCTCACT